GGGAGTTGATTTGCTTTGATGTGTAGCGATAATCAGTTTGATGCCCACACGATTAGTCGTTCAGATCGTTCATCAAATACTACAACGTTGAACTTGATGTATTCATCCACTAGATGAAATTCAGTACTATTTCACTACTTAGAAATCATACAAGGTTTACTTTCCACCATTATAATGCTGATTTCGCTAAACGCTTGTTTCTGTACACATCAGCAAAACTCAATGTCTGACACTACTTAGCTTTATAATTTTTGTAAAATGCATTGACTCACGAATTTTATGTCTTATTTAGTCAAAGATCAGAGTCTCCATCTATTCTTAGCTTTTATTGGTTTGTTATTCGCAACCTAACATCCATTTTTTCATCTTCACTTTTGCAGGTAAGTTCGTGTAATGAGTTTGAAGAAATCTTTCTTCCCTTGTAAAATTTGTAGGACTCAAACATACACCCGTACTTATGATCATTACCATAGATAACGATTAAGACCCAAACGCTACTTTCAGACTGAAGCCTGCAGTTCACTTTTTCTAGGATTCTCGTGGGGCTAGATGGATCATTTTTCCTTGGAATTATGAAAGATAACTCCACTATCAATTAACTACATTTAAACTGTTATATTCATACTGTATGATAAAACCTCAGTTTAACATGTTCATAATATATATGATCATATCCATATAATAATTCATAATCATGTGATCACATATTGATCTTGCCTATTTGCTAGAACAACATGCCGTCACTTTTAATCTATCTATCATCATATCTGACGAAGAATTGCATTCCATATTTGTATAGTATTCCTTGAAGGCTGTAACCCACATGCTTTATGTGTTTAAAGGTTCCATTCAGACCTGTATCTAACATCAGAAAATAAATGATCAAGCACCATACTCTGAACGTTACACGCTTTTTTATATACTATCCTTTACATTGTATTTCCATGCAACTCTGTCATGGTTTTTGGTCAGTATTTTTACCTAAAAAGCTGTTTCACATATTCATAAAGAATCATAATAAATCTAGGTGGCAATAATCTCTAAAACTATTTACCTCTGAACACCCCTTCAATTTTAACTATGTCAAGATTTCAGTCGATATATGTACTATATATTATACCCACTTTGATTGTTTGGTATTAATAACCGACAGTTCTAGATTACTTTATCATATAGGTCAAACTTTCTGTGTAATCTACACGTAAAAATTTACTCAATGTGCATATTTACGTCCTATTTTACCTACGCAGATGTACTGACATACATATTTACTACGATCTTCCTCCCATTTCCATTTCTTGTATTTGTTATCTTCACTAATTCACAAGATGAGTTTACTCTCGTTTCAAACACATGTTATTATTTCCAAATTATCTTGAAGCCACGGCTTGATTTTTAAAAACACTTTGTTCAGCCCATCTGCTACTTATCACTTTCCATTCATTCTCAAAAAAAAATTGAAAGCCTCTGTTTCCATGCGTCCAGCCAAACGTAAGAAAATGACATGATCTAAAGCATATACCGACACGATTCCCGGGAGTTTCAAGTAGTTGGGCTACTCCGTTAATCCAGAAGCAGACAAGCACATGTCAGTTCTCCCCATTTCAGACATTTTGAAGAGTTTATTGATAAAAAATGTTGAAAATCGCCATTGTCACCATATGGATGATATGCGAATGTTGTAAGTTGACATGAATGTTCTCAATCCGCTTAGGTATCTCATTAACCCCAACTTTACAGAAACTACAGATCAGATGAATGACACAAATAATCTCCCAGATCATGTTGCAGTTGTGTTTAATATACCGGACAAATATGCGCTTAAAAATATCAAGTCAAATCTCCTTAGAGCCAGCAATATGACCTATGTAACATGTGTGTGAACAAAATCAGAAACAAGTAACCCTGGTACGCACTCACCGATCTTGTTCAAATTCAACTCATCTGTAACCCCCAGCGAGTTTTAACCCTTCCCAATATAATCAGACTGGAACAAAATTTCAAGGATGTAGAGCTTCTTCCAAACAGAACATCATGCCGGCAGAAAGCAGGAAGAGCTAAGTAAAGACCATTAGCGTCAAACTCTTAAGCGCATCATAGTCCTGAAGGTCAGAAAATCTATTCCCATTCTAAGAGGGTCTCTGACTCTATGAGCCATTACCGATAAACTCTCCTGAATCTTATAAATTTCAGGACCCAGTCAAAATTAACCCCAGTGTAGGTCGTTTCCATCCTCCTAAAAACGTTGATTTATATCTAACCCGAAGTAGTTGTACTGATAACGAATCAGCTAACATAGTTTAAAATCCTGTCATTGCAAAACCCGGTTACAGTCACTGTGCAACGGCTGACGGGAAAAGTAGTCGTAACATTTATATAATTGGCCATGCACTCAACGTCGAAATATTCTAACTTCGAAAACCATCGCAAGTATGTTTAACAACTATTGTACTCATTGCAGAAGAGCGGTGTAAATCATCCAAGTTTCATCACTCCTTAGACTCCCAACATTCCTTACGTTTTCTTTAGAACCGACAGACGTCATGGAATAGGAGAATGTACAATTGTCTGTGTCCGTTTGAACATTCAGGTGTGTAAAGTTGAGGATGAATATTTTGATGTTACAGATGACTACACTTGAGTTACTGTAGATTGTGGACTGCAAAATTATATACTGGTGGGGTGCATATACAGACCACTTCATACAGATACTAACTTCGAAAAATTGCTATCAAACATATTTGTCATTAGTTCATGCCAATCGCATACGTTTAAAATCATAGGATGTGACTTGAATGTGCCAAAAATTACATGGAGTCGAAGTCGAACTCAGGTCGATATAACAAGTTTGTTGAAACGTTGATTGTTCTTGTATGGGTCCAGGAAGTCTGACAACCAACTAGGAGGAGTGATTTACTTGGTTTGTTATTTACAATTAACATCAAATCTCAGTGCATATCAGTCATGAACTTTTTATGGGTGATCACAGAATTCTATTGAGTATTATGCATTCTTTGAACACTATAAAATTGGACTCTAAGGCTGAAAGATTACACCAGAGCAAATAGTTTGACCTGTAGAAAGCGATTTCTTACAGATGTAACTCTAAGCTATTCTCTAGACTGTCGAGCACAGAGTCTTGGTTTAGCCAAAGTCAGAACAAGTAAGCTATTTGGCCTGATAAATTTTATTTGTTTCTAAAACATAAATTAACACCGTTCGTATACGAAATAAACAGTACAATGTATTAACATAGAGAAAAACAGGCATAAATAACATACCGAACAGTAACTAGAGGATAAGAAAAATGAGTCAACAAGGCAAATATTGTTTTATAATGAACATCAAGTTGTGATTGGTGAATAAACAAGACAGAGTCATACAAGGTCAAATAAAGTTAATGTGGTGAGCGTTTCACTTTATCATTATTGAGTTTTAAATAAAAATAATATATTTGTAATACCCCATTGAGTAGAAAATTGGATTTTCTACTCATTGGCATATTACAAATATATTATTTTTATTTATGACAATCAACCCAATGCTCAATTTATTCGAAATTATCAAATCAAACCTTGGTAATGACACCTACAAACTCATTATTGAGTTTGTTTATCGATCACACTTTACAGACCAACAAACCTAGAAGCGCATTAAAACTTTAACTCCATCTTAACCATGTGAATCTTGGTTCACCACAAATAATATTGACGCTACGCATTCCGAACTATACCACAACCTGACACATTGCGTTGATTGCATAGCTCCAATTATCAGTCATTTGTCTTATAACGCTAATGGGGGCCAGAATACTTTTAAAACCTTTAGGAGAAAGCTGTGAAAACTAAAACACCGCTACCACAAGCATCATGGCGTGCATGCGTTTCAGAGTATATTTAACTTGGTCGACAAAAATGTAATGGTAATCAAAGAAGAATCAAACAAGTTATACGATCGGACTGTGTCGTGGGATCTACCACTGACAAAAGCAGATTTATTCACATTGGCTGCTGCTTTAACCTAAATCTGACTATACACAAACATACACCAAAACCTCTCAACACTGTTCGTGACTTGGGTTTGAGATACAACAAAAGTTTGAACTTTTTCAAATACATTGCACCTCAAGTATCCAAAGCTAGTATGTTCACTGGACTCATGACGATAAACTTTAATAACATCGAATCGAGAGTATAAATATACAAAAAATGTATATTACTCATTCTTGAATATCGTATTTTAGTATACAGCAATTTCAGTCATAATGAACTGAATAAACTGGAGGGTGTCCAAAAAAGGTTCACTAAAGCTGCCAACAAGGATTATCACCAAAGATGTCAACAACTCAAGTTAGATCCTCTCTGGATCCGACGTAATAAACTATACATTGTCTTTATCTACCGGCTCATTGACGGCGTTTCTTATTCTTCGGCATCCATTCTTTTGTGCTCTATGATACCACCCCACAATCTACGCAATAAGCAAAATATTCCAGCGATTCCGAGAACCTACACAAACTTACTCCAGACATTTGTTATTCACTACTCAACCATAAGAAATGCATTACCAATGAACCTCCCTTGTAGGAAATTACAACTCCGTTCAGAAGTCTTATTGATGATTTTCCTTCTACAAGTGGATTTTACTACGTCTTAATAATATTAACTCAGTTCAATAATATATTTTTTAGTTTGATCTAAGCTTGCTAGTAGTTGAATGGGATGAGTAGCATGACATACATACATCTGGTGCGGATACCTGACCAAGTGACTTCGACTAAATGAGTACAGTAAATCTAGTGATGTCAGGAAAAAACATCGAAGACTTAAAGAACTATTTATTCTGGGAATTTACTGACCGCTATGCACTCATTGTTTGCCTCCTTTATCTACAGCTTATATTATACCAGTATAAACGGCTTAACGACACTTCAGTTCAAGGATTGACATAATTTATTGATTTTCTGTCGTTCAGTCAAAGTCTACGGGGATTCTGAATTTGATGTTGACTATTGAACATTCTTGAATAGTTTACGTTCTTGTGCGCTACTCAGCTACTTATTGCCATAGTCATTTGCTTTGTAGAGAAGTTGGAATTAGAATGTTAGCGTTTTTCCAGCGTATTCTCGATTGGATTCGAAGTCTTTTTTGGAAGGAGGAGATGGAACTAACATTGGTTGGTCTTCAATACTCGGGAAAGACCACTTTTGTTAATGTGATTGCTGTAAGTCACTCCCGAATTTGATTGCTTCAACAGTATACCTTAGTTTGACTATGAATTAATTGATGGTTTTTTGCTTTTATGTAGTCCGGGAAATTTGATGAAGATATGATACCTACTGTTGGTTTCAATTTGCGTAAGGTTACTAAGGGGAATGTCACTATAAAGGTAAAATAATCCGTAGTATTAAATGCCTTCAGATGTGGGATATCGGTGGTCAACCTCGTTTCAGGAGTATGTGGGAGCGGTATTGCCGCGGAGTCAATGCGATTATGTAAAATTCACAGTTGTTGTACATATTTTATATAGTTATATGGTAGATGCTGCTGATCATGAGAAACTAGAAGCTTCGCGCAACGAGCTTCATGGTTTGCTTGACAAACCCCAGTTACTTGGTATCCCTGTTCTGGTATTGGGAAACAAAAAGGATTTGCCAAATGCTTTTGCGGAACATGAGCTAATTACAGCTCTCAATCTAGGGGCTATTACTGACCGTGAGATATGTTGTTACTCTATCTCATGCAAAGAGCAAGAAAATATAGGTGAGATTAATCTTATTATCAACTCTTGAGTTGTTATATTGCTTTGTCAAGACTGAAACATAACTTTCATTTCCAGTTGCAACTACCCTCCTGACTGTCCTGATACAGCTTGTTGTATGAAGTGACATTGTGTATTCAAGTTATTCCTCCTTACTTCTATTGACTGAAGTACCTGCGTCTGTAGCTGTTGATCTCAGTGACTGATTTAAAAGAATCTGGTTGTCTTTGTACTCAAACGGCTCTGTGACATTCTGGAGTCTTTCAAAGAACCGTTTTTATTGAAATTAAATACATTAAACTCATGTTTAGGATAGCAGTTTTCTGATAACTGAATATAATTGTTTATCCTTATCAGCTTTATTAATTTCATTTATTAGGTAGTATAATGTCATATTCCGCTTTCAAACAACCGACTGACTAAATTCAACCTAACCGACAAGCTACAGGACTCGAAATCAAACTCGATGCCCAATATTTTTGGAATAAATATGTCAATAACTTTTTAAAAAAATACTGGTATATATTATGTGTTTAACTTAAAGTCAATAGTTTGAGAACGTGGACTGCATTCTGCTTATTACAGTTTTAGTAAAAATGATTGGTTCGGCGAAGAGTTTGCTTTTCAACAAACTCACTTTCGAATCTGTAAAATCGCAAATATATACTTATTTTTCAAAATAATAGTAACTACAGTAATACTGATATTAAAATCCTGTTAAACATGGCAACAATCCGGTAGAACGAACAAAGTTTATTTATTTGAGCACATAAATATTGGTACAAAGGGACACCGAATGCATATGTTCCACACGAGTCACTTGATTTGTATGTAGGTTTTGATACTGCCCGAGTGCTCAAACAGAAGCAGGTGGTTTTCTTAAGGGACCACACCCCGAGCCTTGACCTGGTCTGATCCACATGGCAGTCGAGCAACATCAGGAGATGCAGTCCCATGGTAGCCGGTGACCAACGATCGGTTCATGCACCATTTGTTCCTTCAGGATCTTGGAGACTATGTACATCATTGATTTGGAATCAGAGTTTTTCAACTCTCCATGGTAAAAGAAGAGGTTGTACCAGTTTTTCTTGGAGAATAATTCTGGTTTTCCCCGATAAAACAATCCTTATTTTATGTCCTAATGAGTATATTCAGTCTAGGTAAACAATTTATATCAGCCGACACAATAGACATGGTTCATAACGTAGTTCATGATTGTAAGTATCAGTGTCAATAATATTATTCCCAGGTCTCAAATTGTTAAGCCACTAGAACGTTCGTGGAGATCTATTCATATTACTCAGCGTACATCACAGATCTTTTTGCAAAAACTCATTCGTAAATGTAGTTCTTGTTTGTTTTTGGGTCATATCCTATTATTTCTTTGTTTTGTTTTTACTGGTACTGCTAGTCATGCTTGTCATTTAGCTTTTCTTCACTCTGTTTTAGACATCACACTCCAATGGCTAATTAAACATTCTAAATCTAACCGATAAAAGTAATAGATTTGACATAATACATTTCTCCGATTGATAATAATCTCCAATTCACCCAATGAATAAGTTAAAATACCATCTCTGGCTGGATATTAAACATTATTGACAGTCCGAGTTAATTTTTGATTTACACGTTATTTTTCTCATATTTTGGTCATTATGCGAAGATTTAATTAAATTCCATCTGTAATCCCGATATACCTTCGTAACCACTCACAGGAGAATTGAAATAAAAAATCTCATCTTATTTCATTGTGTAATAAATTTCTTTACGGGAATAAACTGTTACGTACACAATCATCTTCGTATTCACATTCCTTATATTTACTTCATTATAAACTTGAACTAAACAAAAATATTTCTGTTATCTCACTTCATTGAAAATATGTATGACTGCTATGTGCATATTATTTTTGTATGCTTTAATTGGAAAATGATCAATGTGTATGATCAGTAGTATCTTGTTTCTTGATTCATCTCTAATTATTTCAACTCGGTAGTGGGTAAAAACGAAGTGATTAGTGATTACTATTCGTTGTTTCGTTGCTTTTCTACTGAACTAGTGCCGCATTTGTTTTTATCCTTAAATACCTGATTTCCGTTTTACTTTATTTGTGTTTTTACTTCACTAACTTTCAAATTAACCTTCCACTTTTTGAATATAGTCGGTTTGTTTTTGTGTCTCTTTTTTGGTCAGTCAGTTTTAATTACAGTAAACCAAACACTAAGCTTATTTGAATGTAATAGGTTTTTTTTAGGGATGCTAGTATTCTCTATTTTCTATGCATAATATACATTAAAGCCACAAAGTCAACAGATATAATGTATTCTAATGATTTTTTGTCTTATTAATCATACTGGTGACAATTTATTTTCGTTATAGATTAAATCTAATGCTAATCTCCTTTTTGGTCTATAATTTAATCAGTCCATATATTTTTCCGCATCCATCTGAACGCGTTTTTCATTTGCTGATAAGATGCATAGGTAGTAACTTTCAGACTTTTCGTTAAGTGGCTTTAAATCTAACGTAAGCAAAGGTAGCTGTAAATTGATAGGGGGAAGAGTTCCTTGTGAAATATTATATTATATTCATAACACATTGAGTGATGACTTATGAACCGTATACTACTGTACTGAGACTATGATCCATCAATCATAACGTTATAAGTAGTAAGAGCTAAATGATTAATGTTTGGACAGATACATCAATGTTGGACCTATTATAAATGTGTGTTGATCCACGTCGCCAAACCACATTAACACAATCAGATAAAATTAACAAAATATATAGTGGAGTCGAAATAGTGTAGCAAAGATCATGATTAAGAAGACTAAGCGTTGATACTGTGGTTCAAAAAGACAATCGTTTATATGAAAGGATGCTGACATTCAAGATCTAGAGTTATCGAGCAAATCCCAACCAAATAATCTTCATCTATCAGCACGGCTCATATCTGCAGTCTGTAACTTCATGGGACAAATCCTGACCATTTCAGTCGATAAAGGTTTACAAGCCCATCCAGCATCTACTTCTATGCAGTATGTAAGCTGGTATACATTTAGGTTGTAAGAAATTTAAGAACGGCCGGACAATGGCATGGAATCATCCCATGAAGTTGCAGACTTCAGATTTGGGCCAAGATGGTAGGTGAAGATTATCTGGTTGGGATCCGCTTGATAACTGCGACCAGTGGCTGGTATTGGGTAGTTTCCCTGAAAATCGGTCACAATGGTGTGGATTTCATTCACTCGTTATCTTCCTTTGAATCCTGTATTTCAGATTTATTGTGTACTTTCCAATTCTCTGTTAAATACATTCTTCTTAAATCATATTCTCTGTGCTTAAGGTTTTTTTTAATATTGCTGATGACGCCATTATTTCTCCTTTTGTATTCACGTTGATACTTTCATCTTTTTATGCTGATGCGGTGTAACAACTTGGATTGATTCATATTTGTCCCAAATAATATGTTGCTTATGACTAAATTATGACCAGTTATATATATTTGCTACTGCCAACATCACATTTTGTGTACTCAATATTTTAAAAAAATTCTTAGGAACGAGTGAATCAGTGTTTATCCCTAAGTTAATTCACTTGATATACTTTAAGAAATAGAAAACAGGAACATTTATGAGATAAAATGAATTCTCAGTTCTATTCATGACTTCACATTCACACCATTTTTAATACCGGGTGAGATTAATCTGAAAACTGGTGATTAATAAATCAAAAAGTGTAAATCACTTCTGATTTATATATGATTGAGAAGAATGTAGAGAGAAAAATCACTAGCAATCATTGACCGATTTTGCAATACGTAAAAATCTATAGAAATTAGTCTCAACAGTTGGAACCAAAAAGGTAACACTAAATAAAAAATCACTTTCCAGTTTTGCACAGTTCACGGCAGCATGTAAGAAATACCAAAAATTCATTTTGTCCTACACATATTTATGCATAAATTTTGTTCTGTATTATTTTGATGGTTATAAATGACAAAATAATTTGAAAAACAGATTTACAAAATAACTCAATCCAAAATTGTACATTATCTGATTCTTATTTAGAAGTAACTTCATGATATCATCCTCTCTAGTGTAAGATTTAGAAGTGCTAGATTCAATCCTGTGTGTACTGTGTTTTGGATGTGTTCACAACTAATACGCCACAATGTAGGATCCGTAAATTAAATGATGAGCAAATCATTCTATCCAAATGTTATCGATTTGTGATGAAAATTATTTTTCGAAAATGTTTATGTGAACTAAAGAATTAACTTGGAATGTTGTTATACCATTATTACTTCTAGTTCTTTTTTTAGAATATAGTTTCAATATTTCAACCTTGAGACTGAATAATAAGTTTCTCCTTCATATTGTCATTTAGTAAATAATACTATGTTATACTGTAATATATTGACAAACATCGAGAATATTTTAATATATTGTTACATTATCTTAATTCTATGTTAATCTTAGAACAGGATAAATTTGAAAGGTTACATTCTCACTCACTGTAATTCGTGTTCTGTCTTTAGTTCTATATGATAAACATTTGGTTCTAATTCAGAGTGATTTTTTACTCAATATAATCTTCATTTTATTTTAGTGTGACATTTTTTGCAATAATTTAGTGCAAACTTCATTCAGTATAACGTGCAGCACGTATTTTGTTTTAATAACTCTATTCATTTTAGTATTTTTTCCTATTTCGATTATTTGTGACATTCATAAAATGTCAATAAAATCGATATATAAATGAACATATTTTGATTAAAGCGATCTTTATGCTGTTGATGGGTGGATAAGTGTGATGATTAGAAGTATTCGGATTAATGTGCTAACTAGGACTTCCCGAAATAGTGCAATTTATACCCAATAGAACTAGATGAGCACAAATGAACGTATTATATTTGGAATTCGTTTTAAGCGTAAAATCAAGTACAAATACTACAACCGCCACAGCTTAAATGAAAATCAAACTTTCTTCAATCGATTGTGTCGTCACCTTAGGTCCATCATGTGTCTGTCTGGTTGTGTATACATAGAGACTCTATATGGTCTAGAATGTAATCATTATTATAAAAGTTAACAGCCGAAATCGAAACGGACTCACCTGGAATGGCATTTACTTAACATGTAATCAAATAACAGGTTTCCCAATATTCTCCACCACAATCCCCGCGGCTAACTGAAATTCATTTTCACGATAACATGTAATTTCTGCAGACTCTAAGCACTTCACATTCGAGCGGAGAATTCTCGCTTCTAATAACTTAGATGAAGTCACTTTCGTTGCAGAATGTTTAGGATTTCTATATCGCAGTAGAAATATGTCTACCCCCCTCTCCAGTTCATCAAATGTTGAAGCAGAAATGGAATTAGTGCTAGTTTCTAATGTTTTGACGAGTTTTTCTGCCTGACCATTAGAACAATGGTGCCCGGGAACAGTGAACAGAAATATTCTAAATTAGACGACGTAATAAAGAAATAAGTCTCTGATCATGATCTACTTTATCAGAACCATGAGTAATAAAACCATCTTGATAAGCTCCAACACCTTTAGGTTCACTGACTACATTATTCATCACTTATTGAAATATGGCTGGAGAACAACTTAAACGAAATAATGAAAGTTGTATTTTAATAGACCAAAATGCGTGTTAATTGTTGTCAAAATAGGTAAAGATTAATCTAGGGAGACTTGAGGGTAAACACCTTTCAAGAATACCTCAGAACCATGAAGTCAATTAAGCATATCTTCAGCTTCCATCATCATACATGTTTGCTTCAACAAGTGAGGGTTCATTATAATCCGCAATCACTTTAAGAACGTAACAAGAGGAGAACCCCACGCTGAAGACTAAGTCGGTTCAATTACACTTTTTGTACACAATTCATTCAATGACTTATGTACTGCTTCTCGAAGATCATAAAGAATTATTTATCTTTTAAGAAAGACAGGATCGCCCTGTACTTGAAGTTTTATAGCCTGAAATTTCATCCCACAACTTCACTTGGCACACTCGGCTATCAAATCCTCAGAATCTTCTTTAAAAATTAATAAAGACAACTCCACTTAAGGTCTTCCAATTCTCTAATTCAAGTATTGATAGTCCTGTTTCACTAACTAACAAATCAAGGTATTTATAAAGAATTTTCGTCTCTAATTAACAAGTAACAGCATCCTCGTAGACAGTTTGTATTCAGTAATCCTTAATACTTAGATCTCAATGGGTAGTACTACAACGTTAGAATCTAAAGACTTCAAGTTCTTGAAAAAGACAGTGAACGTATTGCCTGTGTGAACAATAGTCATGGAATGAACCAAGGGAGGTATATAATGGCTTCTCAATATGGAAATTACCTTCCAAACTCGTAGATTGAGATAAGTGATCATTAGAAACACCCAGCTCAATAAAAACCGAACTACTGGATTTACCAACCCTGGTGGCGAAATGAACAGTAACTTCAAAAACCGATTTGAGGTGTTTCATTTTAGCACGACGAAAGACACATGAATTACGTGAGTGAAACTTGTCACAGGATACGCATCCACTGAATCCGCGTTTACCTCTATAACCTACTTTCCGATTCTTTGTCGAATCATTTTCCACATTTCCGCGAAAATGGGAACCACTATTAATCACAAGTGAGCTTGGGCAACCTTGATAATATAAATCATCATGACAAGTAAGTAAACTATTAGAAATTTCACTGACTCGTTTACAGCCTTATAGTAAATATATGTTTTTCTAATTTTTTTGAATGTAATTTTTTCTGTATTTGGAATATTTATCCCAGCAGTCAACCGATAACGAAGATGAATTTCCAACCAGTCTCCAAAATTGCACGTCACGACCTGTTTCTATAGTTCAAGTATAAAGTCTCTAACTTTCTGCCCATTCTGTCGCATCATTATATGACACTTTGATCCGTCTCTACACATGACCAAGTAGAAATTCATTGAGAGATCCATATGACAATAAAGTTGATTTCTCTGGAAAAGCCAAATCCTTAGTACGTTATACACGTCTTTTCCAATAAATGTCAGGAATTAAGCTGTAAATCTATCATCTTTAATATATTTTCTAGTCATGCACGAGATTTTAAATCTCTCCATATCGTTTTCAAAGATATCCCCACTTGAATTAACATACAACTGTCCAAGATCCAACCTTATTGAAACGCTAGTATGATAATTAGAAGTATTCGGATTAATGTGCTAACTAAGAGTTCCCGAAATAGTGCGATTTAAAGCAGGTAGGACGAGATGAACATAATCAAACGTACTATATTTGGCATTTGTTTTAAGCTTGCAATCAAGTACTAAGTAATCATTAATTAGTACAATTACCACAGTAATTTAATAATAAACAGTATTAGTTAAAGTACAAAATTTTGCGTAAATTAACTTGTTTATGCACATGTATATAAATTAAAAGTAGACATGGTAGTTATTGATTTATGTTTATTGCTTAGCTTATATATATTATTTACGAAATCATGTAGAAATACTCTCATGAAAATGGTAAATCACAACAGAAACTTGATGTGTGGACCAATGGCAATCAGGTAGGATTGGCTGATGAACCCAAGCCAACTGCTAGATCTGTTTTGTTATTTCTTCCTAGCTTTATTAATTGCAATAATATTTGTGTGTTTGTTGGCCTGATAACGTGTTCTTGATCTTAGATGGTTTAACGTTTGAGAGATCAATCATCTTTTATGTGCACAAAGACATCAGTTCCGCCGTTAATCCTAGGGAACCAAGCTTCACATCAAAACATAGATGGCCCCCAAGTGCCCTGGTACGACCGAGGGTGGGGGCAGTCAGCTCTCCCTCACGAAATGCTCTCACATGGCCACGTGCATACAACCACTACCACGGAAGTCCTACTCACTGCCTCCTCGCACCACGGGTGTTGTTTACGAAACTGAGGACGAAAAGCGAATGTCCAGCGCTTTAACCGGATCGGTGGACACGGAGAGTTGGAAAACCCTGATTCCAAATCAATGGTGTACATAGTCTCCAGGATCCTGAAGGAACAAATGGTGTATGAACCGATCGTTGGATACCGGCTACCATGGGACTGCATCTCCTGATGTTGCTCGACTGCCATGTGGATCAGACCAGGTCAAGGCTCGGGGTGTGGTCCCCTAAGAAAACCACCTCAGGTCTAGGCACCCGGGCAATATCCCAGCTCTCACATAAACCGAATGATTTACGTGGCGTATAACTGATTGTTCCTTCCTTGTATCAATGTTTATGTGTTAAAATAACTAAATATTAGTAATGAAAAAAAAATTACAGTATTTTCATTATTAAATTTTTCCAGTCAATTGATTTACAGATTACGTCAATTTTGAGACGTATATAGATTAAATGATTATCGTTGCATATGAGTAAACTGGATTTGAATATGCGGATCATGAGATTGCTTTTCACTAATCTAAAAGTAATGCGCTCACTTAAGTGCGATACTTGATGTGAACAGGACGGTCAACTTGAATACAAGGACAAATCAATAAAATGCAGCCTACGAAGACGACCAATCGCAACCAAGGCCAGTAGAAAAAACTGTTTTGAGGCTTGTGAAATAGGCAATAAGCTCATTATCTAGCTCAGTATCACCGAAAACACCCACCTGAGCTGCAAGTTCTATCTTCTATTTTTAAATTCTAAAGTTTTTAAGCCATTTTTTTGAAAATCATAATTCCTACTAGTAACTTAATCCTTATACTGTTTAATCTATACAGAATTAAACTTGTACTCTCATATTTTTAAAAATATCCTTAAACTTGTTATAGCTACACTATGCTGTTTACTTAATGAAAAAGCTTGTCTTCTGTTATTGATAACTGTAGGCTGGGAATTATTGTTGAAATATTCGTATCGAGTATTAATCTTTGTCCATTTCATTATTTGGGCCTGTTACCCCTGCTTTTCATATCATATGTATGTTATTAAATAATATACAAAAACTACAATGCCATTTTTAATGAAGTAAATTTGTAAAGAAGGAAAAACTAATAACAGTAAACACTACATGATTCTTAAATGATCAACACAATTTAATATAATGATAAGTAAGTTCAAAATACACTCCGAATATGATTCTCTATGGTATATTCACAGATGATAATTATAATATTGATTCGTCCAAAAATGATCTAACAATGATTAAAAGGCTAACTGTGAAGGGAGCGATTTAGTTTATATGAAAAATGTCAAACTACTGAAAATACTAGCACATTGAAATTCTTAGAATTCGTGTAACACATAATCCTTAAAAATGTTCTCTCGAACAACTATAATTTTCTCACCACTTCCTGATATCAGAGTGCTAACTTCACGAAAAGGATATATTCGATTTTGCTCAATCCACAAACACAAATTACTATTAAATCCTGAACAAATTTATTCATGAAGAATGCTGTTCAAGAAAGATAACATTTTGTATTTAGTAGCTGTAAGTAGAAAAATCTATCATAGTCATATCATTATGATTATCAGCCAAAATGTAAGAGTTAGAAAGTGATGTTTAATTAGTTTTTGAGTCTGACAGTTCTTAAATATCTTCCACTGATTTGTTAATCTGATTACGCTTAAGTCAAAAGACAAGAAAGCTCCCAAAGGAAAACCCCATAAAATTTAGAAGACCGTTGATCCAAATATATACTTCTGTAACAGTAATTATTTCGCGCATTTAAAAATTAAAATAAACATTTGATACTCAGTAGTGAAATGTTAGTTTTAGTGAAGTAAAGCAT